AACTAATATGTTATTGTACATAATATTTAGCGTCTATAGTGATAAATTCAGCTTGCCGAAACAAAAAGTCGCGAAATGGTCATTTCCCAGCTTATTTTCGTGGCCTATTTAAAAAACTAAACTGAAAAACAACGATTTAATTTAAAGAAAGCGTATTTCCAGTTGAAGGCACTACACAAACCATGTCTTTTTGATTTAATGAAAAAGTGCACAAATGCTTGTAGATACTAAAAGATGATGAGTGTCATATTTGTATTTCTAATTGAATTGTGTTTGAACATTTATGTCGGCAAAACTAAATTTGCACGTTATTTAAATCGCATCAAGAACTAAATTTCCGTGCTATATGATGAAGTATTTACTACTTTATTAATAGATACAATCATCAGAACCAACTCATCTTTTGATGGAGAAGGAATAGGACTTGTACAAATTACGATCGCATAACAAATTTACTTAAGAAAATATTTGTACGCCCTCATTCCATATGCACAGTAATACGTGTTTGATGTTACAATAAAATAAAACAACATCCAGAACTTCTGGTTGAAAGCATTCTTACATTGTTCTGACGTCTCTCGTCAGCTCAGAGGATTCATGTAATAAAAATAAATATTTGACAGCTAAAGAAAATCTAAGGCAAACATTGGGACATGTGTTTCATTAGCTACATTGACACGATGGGAATATTCGTTTCTAATGCTTTAACGATTTGGATTTTGGATACACGTGTTCAAAAAGCGCGTTTGAGGGCTTGTGGCTGTTGACATTTTAATCGCGAATTATCTTTCCGCATCTAAATTAAGATATTCTCATATAAACTATCGACTTTAAAACAATTCTGTCGTATTTTCTTAATAAAAAAAACTTCTTTTCGTTTTTTAATAATATCTCACTTATTGTTAGAGATCGACCCTATATGACTATGCTAGACGGGGAACGTTCTATCCAAATATGTAAATATATACAGGGTGTTCCATTTAAATTAACAAAGTTTACATCTGTGGACATTTTGTTTGGACTTCATTTGTTTTTCTACTATCATTTTCGAAAACTTCATAAAAAATCGTGCAACTTTTGTACTTCACATTTTTTTAAAACTTTAAAAACAAATAAGTCAAAGGGAGGGTCAAAATATAGTGAATCGCCCTGTGCATATAAATATAAAAATAAGTCTTCAAATTATTTTTTGCAGTGTGAAATATACCATACTTTTACTATTTGTTAACCCCCTGTATCTCTTATATCAGATTTATATAAAACGAGTACCTACCTCATTCAGCGATAGAAATGAAAGTACACAAACTTAACAACACAATTAATTGCAAAAGACAGAGCGAAAGCATTCATGCAGGTAATTTTGACAACTAGCTGGATTAGATTAGTGTTAAGTCAGATGAAGTAGTACTAAATTGCCACCGAATATTAAAATAAATAGAAGAACAGAATCGTGCGAATATAAATGTCTGTGCACTTTACAACAGCAGCATTATGTTGTGAAATTAAGCTCAGCTACCCTGTGGTGAAATACTAGATACAGTGCGAAGACTCAAATGAGTGTACAAAACTGCACAACTACCTTCCAAGAACATCGTAAAATGACATTACTCTTCATATATTTATGGATCGAACAGCGATCCAAATATTTTTTTGTTTTGGATGACCAGAAATTTGGAAAAGTGACTCACATGAGAGATCATTAAATTGGGAATAACTTATTTGATCGGAAATTATTACCAGTCAAGCTGGATAAAGTAAGTTTTATCTGTTAGTATTATTAATATTTAAACTTATGACACAAAATTAAGTTTGGAGAAGTTACTCTTCTTTAAAAAGCTATTCTCTGGTTCAAATATCTCCGGATCAGTGATTCTGTATTACAAGAAATGTGCAGTTTTTTGCTGCGCCATCCATACTGCTGTGAAGAGAATTATGTTTGTACTGAATACACTACACAAGATTTTTCAGAATTTTTTTTTCAACCAAACTAATAGCACAATATCAACAAGTTAGTTCAATAATGTTTTGTCAAATATCGCTGAGAACATGACTATTATGTACTGACACCCTCTAATGCATTACACAATTGATAATGTGAATTCTGTCGAAATTCGCAGTCGATTCAACATTGTTTCCAAAGAGATCATAGACTTTTTTTCATGGATAAATTATCTTATGACTTTCCAGCTCACAGTGTTGGCCTTCTTACCTCAGTAATAGGCAACAATGTATCATTCATAATAATATTACCTTAACATGTTCTGGTGTTGTTGCAGAAGAACCACAGAGATCATTTGTTGCACCGGATCTTATAATTTATGTCAATGATTTATCCTGTTTTGTGAATAATTCATTTTTAATTTTTTAATTACCGTTGGTACCTAACCTCACTAATCGCAGTCCGATAATTGATGATTTAAAAAAAAACTCGTTAAGCTGAACTAATGATTCGAAACTGGTTTCTTTCTAATCAACTAAATTCAAATCCTGCTAAAACAGAAACAGTAATACTTAATCTTAAAGAAACCAAAGATGCTCCAAATTTTGAATCAATAAAAATTTTAGGGGGTGCATTTAGACTTAAAATTATCAAATTACACTATCACATATATGAGAGATTATATTCAATTTTAATATAGAGCCACTCTATTTCAACTAGATGCATTTACTCTGTTTTAACTTCTATGTTTTTGTTTGCTGGATTTTAGCTTTTTATATTTATATTTTCCCAAGTTTTATCTCTATTTTATCAAATTTATTTCTAAATTATTTATATTTTTTTCTACAGATTAGCGACTATGATTAAACTTATATAATCTTGATGATGTCGAATTATACAGAATAAAAGAATTAGCATCTCTTGACAAAAGCATTAAAATACTGGAAAAATCTATACTAATTCCTTACCAGCAATAAGATTCCCACACTACCAATGAACGCTTTCAGATTTTGATGAATAGCTTTGTCTTCCATGTACCGTACATAAATATTTCACACACAAAGATTGAATTATAAAAGTTGTTAATGGCTTTGCTCACGTGATCTTTATTGCTTATTTTCAAATTTATAGCGGCCGTTTGCGTCATTAGATACAAAGTTTAAGAGTTAAGTTGCGCCTTGTTAAATTTTTTTATGGACGAAGAAGGTCCAATTAACAAATTCCCCCAAACAAATGCGCGATTTTAATTTGGATTTATGCGGGGCAGTAAACGCGGTACCGATATAATTGGTTATTAATAAAAAGAGATTTAATCGAATCACTCGAATGAGAGAAGTTTGTTTTTATTTCTAATTAATGCTAAGAGGGCGGATATCCAATTATACTCGTGATAATTAACGACTTCTGCGGTTCGTCCTACACTATTCATCACAATACTAGCGAATGCGCGGCTTATAAAGCTGTGATAAATCCAAATATCCCTGTTTACAGTCGCTTGTAGTCTAATAGAACAACAAAAATTTTAAAATTAACAATTTTTACCTGCCACTGTATTGCTTTGTTTATTTTATTCTTAAATATTAATCTTGTTCATTTCCTCCAAGTGCTTTGAAAATGTAGGATACACAACCACAAAAAAAAACACAAATGTTTATCGCATTCCGTTGCTATAACTACAGTGTGGTCTTAACTATTTCAATCAACTGTTTTATTTGTTTATTTGAAAATTTTATAATAATACCTAATAATATTTAAAATTCATAAATTCTTAGTATTATCTCTAATATAGCAACAACTTTCATGTACTTATACAAAAAAAAAAACGATACAGGATGTTCCTAAAACAAAAATAATAAAAAAGTTCATAGAGTCCTTGGTTCTGAAATGTGAATCTGAATTCTGAAATCACTTTTGAGATATTGAGATATGGGCCATTAAAGTTTAAAAAAAGAATTAGTAATTACAATAATAATAACAAAATGATTTTATTTGCAGTATACCTTAATCTATTTACAAAAACAATGTATAAGTATACATTCAAAATATTTCCCAAGAAATTTGGTAATAAAGTAATATATCTTTGTTTATCATAAGGATTTGGATTTCATGCCTAATATTATTTCGTTACTAAGTTGACAATGTCAATAATGGCCAATAGAAGCTAGTCGCGTAAACGTAAATCTGCAATTAGTCCAGGAAAGTTAGACGTAAAAAGGCGGAATAAGCGAACTTTTTTACCTTGAGATTTTTTTAAAGAGAAGTATACGTTTTGAGGTAAGAAAACATGTTACACACGCATTCACCAGCAGCATACACCGTTTTGAGATATAGACACATATACATACATGATTTTTCGCTTTTTTTGGACAAAAACTGCCAATATCCCAATGAAGATGCATTTTTTCAAAAAAATGTTTCAAAAAAAAGTTGTTCAAAACTAAATTTCCTACAAAATTGCTCCTATGAAACATTTCGATTTTCCCAAAAGTTTTCCCATATATTTTTAAAATGAAACACAAATTATGTGAAAATTAATATTATCGAGCCAAATAATAGTCAAATAATGGTTAAAGTTAAGACTTGTTAAAGTTAAGAATGATTTTTATTATTATCATAAAATAAACGGATAACTTCAAATTGTTCTCAATAAACATTATATCTTTGTTAAAATAGTTTGTTATAGGAAATAAATTAATGATGATAAATAAACTTCTGTCAAAGTCATTTGTTTCTTCCGCGTGCCTCGTTCAATTTCCCCCCGTTTTTTTTTTTAAATTGTTTTAAACTGAAATATGTCGAAAAGTCCTGAATCAAACAGTAACATATATTTTTGAAAAGAGAAAAATTTGACGAGGCTAATATATAGGGTGTTCCATTTAAAAAAATTCTTTAATTTAGTGATTTCCATTATTCAATTGTTTTTTTCTAATACTGTATTATAAAAATTTGCTAAAACTTGTTTGTAATTTCAATAATAAACTCACAATAAGTTGTCAGATTACAGTGACTAACCCTGTACATAAAAGTAACGTATTTATAAAACTCTTATTTTTCTTTACAGATTCATCAACATATCCTGTTGTCCAGTTTAGTTTGGAGACAGTAAGGTAAAACAACTTTAAATTTATCGTAAGCTAATATTTTACTGTTAAAAAATAATTTACGAGTATTTGTATTACATTTCCTAATTTGTTTTCCAATACATCACTTATTTCTTTTAAGTGGTCCGCGTGGTATAACAGAGGTTGTCTTTTGTCATATGTATTAGATGGTACACCATTTATATTTCTAAAAATTCCCCTTTGTCACGGCTTAAATATAGAGGAGACAATGCTTTGTATGCGGCACGACTATTCCTTCCAAATGCACTATTTTCGGATATGCTTAATGAACTGTTCCTTTACACCGACGCTAATTCTTTGAAGTAGAGAAATTTTGTTATCAATTATACGGGTTGTCGTATATAAGTTATTATTTTTAGCCTTGTCACCTTTTAATTATAACATCATTCTTTAATCAATTTTTGTGTCGCTCGTAAAAGAACAAATTAGTATTCAGTGCAGAACTGATTAGCATATTTGTTGCAAGTAAAACTGTCATTTATGATGATAATATCGACCATTAAGCCTGACATTAACTGTTAATGTTCTTTGGTCGAGCTAATTAAATTAAAATTTAATTAAGTATAATTGTAAAATTTAAAGGGAACGTAAGATTCATTGTTTTTTTATCAGAGTAGCAATGATTTTTACTGAAAAAAAGGACACATACATCTGCCTTGCAGTAATTAGCAACAACGCAGTTTTTTACTTTATAAAATTTCAATAATATTCCTTGGATTATTTCGAAATCAACAATGCACTTTACTTATTAGCTATATATTAATTAATATAAATTATTTGACGTTTTTATCAATACTCTAATGTCAATTTTGACATACCTCAAAAATATATTTCTTATCGTTGCACTATATGCCATGATTCCTATTTACCTACAACCCTTTTATGGCTATTTTCACAATCGTTGGTTATCTTTTTTGTAAGGTAACCTTGACCCAAGAGTTATACTTGTGGTTAAACAATTCAACTGTTTCACAACAGCCAATACGTCTTCAAGTAAACCAATCTGGTGTTAATCTGAGTGTTGTTACGAATTTATTGTAATGGACAAGTGACACAATTTAGAAGAAAAGGAAGAAATAACTTGTAGTGACATATTTTGCGACAATCGCTTATTTGTGTGAGAGAGTGAGTAAGTAACTATTATCGTCGATCAAAAGACTGTCACCATATTGGCCCATTTCCAAAAGCATATAATACGGAATTTCTAAAAATGTGGGCATCAAGATTTCAACCTGGTCATCTTGTGACTATGTTACGAATTTTAAGGTTAGGATCACTAATTAACTGTCTGGCATTTTTATATGTTCTGGTAGCAAGCCTGCTATTGCTAAACTTACTCTTCTCACCACCCTACTTTCTGTGGGTTTACTAATTCCACAGAAATCTGCAGAGGTCCTTAGGAAAAAAATGTCAAAAGTAGCTGTTGTTATTTCTACATAAGAAAGCAAAAAAATAAGTATTGCAATTTTCAAAATATATAGAAATATAGAACATGTACATTTGCGTAAGGTGATTAATAATATCCTGTATTTCTTCTAATAAATTTTCTACTGTACGTGGGGAAAGCCTAAATCTTGTGAAAAAGTCTTTTGGGTCATATTCTTTAAAAATAGTTGGCCTTTGTCTGAAAATTCGTAGCATTTTAACCTCCTCATCACTACTGTAAGCATTTACCTCGTAATCTTCAAAATTTTGATTTATTTTTTTAATTTGACAGTCAGCTCTTATAGGTTAACTTTAACTACAAATCTTTAACTTATACATAAGGTTCTGGTTATCTTTATCATGACATAACCAAAACATTGAAGTTAACTAGATGTCACTTGCAGTTATAACCTTTGGTAAGGAACTAACTGCTAGTTAACCATAGATTGTGAAACTGGGTGTTAATAATAAATCTGACTCGCCTTTTCCAGTAATTTCTAGACTTTTGGATGCCTTTTCATAAGTTCTTTAGGAAAAAAAACTAAAAGAAAATAATAATGTTCTAGTTAAAGAGGCTATGAACGACTATAATAAAATTTTAGCATTTCCATTTTCGTTGACATAATGATAGTCTACTTTTATATTTTTATATGCTTTTAACTTGGTAATTAAGTGAACAATACGCTTTGATTGACTGATCATTATTTTTATCTGCAATTATTATTACAAATTACAATCTGTGAACAAAAATCATCAAAGAAACATAAATTTGTATTACGAATAGTCAGATTGCGGTATCTAATTTGTTTACCCATTTTTGTCACTGAACACGATATTCATTCTGCTTTTTATGCGCATCCTAAGAAATTAATTATAAAAATCTTTTCAAAAATGTAATGTAATTCACATAATTTAATTATGTGAATAAATTCATGAAATGTTCTAAGGAAAGTTATATCAACTTGGAATTTGAACGTTAATTGGGAATTTGGTAATTTTTCATTTAATATTATGTATAGTTCGTTAAATATAGGAGAGCTTTGTACCTGCGCTAAATTAAAAAGATCAGGAAATATAGGGATATGCATGCATAGTTCTGTGGTATCCACAAATAAGATCCACTTATTATTTGTGGAAGGGCGAAATGGGCGGTGACTATTAGACGCCTTCATTATAGCCATCTTTCTCTATCGCACGGATTTCTATGACTTACTTTATCGCTCTCACGTATAGGCCGATGAACCATAGTTACTTTCCGACCCTGTATATTATATATTATATTATATATTTTTTTAATAGTAATAATAAAATCTGTTAAGTAGTTTTTGAGAAAAAAAATCCGAAAGTTTGTCGATTTCGTCACTTTTTTCACATTAAAATGTAAATATCTCGGAAACGAAGCATTTTTCGAATTTTTGTCAAAGGGCAAAAAGTGTTTATTTTGGTCCATTTTACAATAAATAATTCAAAGCCATTTGGCGAGTAATTTTTTCTTTAAAACTTGTTTATTTATAACAATTTACTGATCACGCCGAAAAATATAAAAAAATATGTAAATTATCGGAAAAATACACTATAAAATAAAAAAAGTTTCATGTTGTAGGTTTTTGTTTTAAAAATTTAGTCGGTTACATTCATTTAGAAGCATCTTTTTAGGGGTGAACCGCTCGCTTATTGTATACAGTAGTACTATTAAACGCAGTTATTGCGTTCAAATGATCAAAGTTTTAAAAGAACTAAGAAATAATATCTCATTTATTTTCTGAGATCTGAATGATATCGATATTGTCTCATGTGCCCTTATTAACGAACTCTTAGTTTTACAAACCGTATCCGAGTAATAATAGGACGAACATGTTTTATTTATTACGACAATGCAGAGCAGACTTTGGCGAAAATACGCCAGCACGTAAGCGGACTAAAACAATAAGAATTTACTGATCTGGAAACTGGAATGATGACAAGAAGTGGTAATTCTTGTGCCCTGAATGTTATTTTATGCGGCAAAAACCTTCATAACCAACAAGACTCACGCGTCATAAGTCTTCCAGTCCGATCCGCAGGCAACCACTACCGCTGCCGCTGCACTCGGTCAACCTGAAGAAGCATTCCGTAAACTACCTGTTTTTTCAACGTACAGGGTGTGGCCTCAAAAGTATCTCGGTAGATATCCAGTTAATTTATGGCGAAATATGTAGGATGGACATCCGCTACATCGAAGTAGTTATCGTGCTTGCCATTTAATTTCCACTTTACGAAAATTGTTATTAATACAGGCTGTCGTGTCAGAATATTCCACGTAATAAACATATTTCTATCCAAAACTGTTTCGTTTTTTCCAAATAACTACAATGGTTTGTCGGATTTAAGTGAAATTAGTATGCCGAGGAAATATGCTCTCCCATTCTGTAAATTACGAATATTTTTATTAATTAAGTTTTATTTGAGGCATAATAAATTAAATTTTTTCTATTAAAAACTTCTATTAGTAATTTCCAGTGGAATTTATTTATATTTTACTAAACATGTGTTGAAATTGGTGATCTTCAATAATTTTTGTGATGATGAATAGTAAAATAATTAATTAATCACGAAAATATAACATTACAAAATTGAAAAAATTCCGAGTGTCCTTCAATGCAAGAACTGAAGTTGCTGTTTCTGAAGATGCAATTCTTTTTACTATTATGCTGACTAAGAGTGACATCTATACTACAAAGAAAGATGCATATGCAAACATGGACAGGAATTCCTTACTAAATCCAGATGCCAAAAATTCTATTGCAGAAATATTGTTGACAAACAGAATATTTTTTATTTATACCTCCACATTGATATGATGAAAACTTTTTGGAACCGCTGATTCCATCTATAGCTCTACCTTTTTTACATTTGTCTTCTTTATTATATATTTATATTTCTTTACTTTTAGTGCACGGTTATTTGGAAATTGTTTTATATAAAACTGTGTAGTTAAATCGCAGTTTTCATCTGCAAAGAAACGGGACGAAAAAACGAACGACCCTAAATTTACGGCCAAAACTATTCATCTTTTTTTGTGTAGTATGTAAGTCGAGGACGATTCTAGAGGTTCTCAATAAGTTTAAACAACTTTGATTGGTATTCGTTTTAAGCACTTTTTCAGTTTCAACAATTTTCTTTAATGTTTAGATAATTAAAAAATCCTCTTCAAGTTTGTAACCATCCCGCATACGAAAGTATTACCATTTCTATTTAAATCGGACAAAATATTTTAGGATTATTTGAAAGACAAAAATTTTGAGCATCCTTGACAGCCTCTTGTAGTTCAACGAAGCAAGTTTTGGAAGAAGTAAGATGCATTCATAGATTTACTTGCGTCTAGCCCTCCGCTTATTTATTTATTTATCTGTTTATTTATTTATTTATTTAGAAATTACAATATCCAACAGGACAAAATCCCAATTACAGGATAAGGTAAAACAGAAAACCTTAACTAAATTTAAAAACAAAAAGACAAACTAACATTAAATATAAAAATATAAGCACTAATATAGAGCAATCAAAATATAAAATATACA